ATTGCTTCGGTGGACGATATAGTTTGGCGACCTGCGAAATTGTGCATGTAGATTGTAATGGCTTTCGGTGTGAGCGCATAAGAAACAAAATGCAACATTTTGGCGTAAAAAATGTTTTGTTGCATTCGCCAAGTTTTGCAGCTAAGAGCATCTGGCGCGCCCTCGAAATAAGATATCGCAAATTGCAGCAAACCGTAAATCGCTTCTGAGGGGCGAAATTTACGGCTTTATCAGCTTATTTAACTTGGTACAGCCTGCATTGAACTTTCGAACTCAAATACATTTTACTATTACTTCCGTGGCTAAATTTTGCTTCGTATCTTCCGATGGACTAGACGAATACCGAACTCTGTCCTTTCGGAATCCGGAAATAACAGCTCTTGGTATCCATCGCAAGGGAAGTGCTCATTATACTGGGATAAATTACACGAGACTTGAAGAATGCAAGGCCCGTCAACTGATGATCACCCTTGCCAGTAGGTCGAGTTCTGTGTTGCGCTGCAGAAGAATTCGCCATCGCAAATGGCAAAATACTCCAGGTTAACCGAAGCCGGCCCCGGGGAATTACCAGATTGCTTTGGCTTCATATATCCATGGTAAGCTGCTAATCATCACGCTTACCACTGAGTCCCAAACTTGGTGAGGGTGATGGATGCTGCTGACAGTTGCGTAACACATGAATGAGGCATTAGCTGATGTGTAGCACAGGAGTCCACAGTGACCAGTCAAGTAGCTGGATTTAACGTATGTCAATCAACTGGATGAGATGCACTCGTTCATCTCGATTAGGTAAAGTTACTGGTCCACCTGGGAGAGGATAAAGAATTGAACTTTGTTGCGCATTTCAGTTGTTAATTATACCTCGGCAGGAAGCTTGCGGTCTTCTTTTTGCGCAGTGTTCTCCGAGCTTTTGACGTCCTTAGTGCATCCTAGTGGTACGTTTGCCTCTTCAGATGACCTTTGGTTGGTTATTCGTCACCGTGCCAAAGCAGGCCATCCAGAATATTGCGTGAATTGCCTGTTTGCGGGCGGTGTAAAGCCAGTGGGCCATGAGGTAAGAGATGGATCGTGAGTCCGTTCGGCACAGCAATTGCAAGCCTTTTTATAATCTGTGTGTTTGCATTAACACAAGCAAAAACTTTTATACGGCACTGTAAAGACAAGACATACGGTGTACTCTAAGCCGGCAGTTCGCAGAGTTTTCGGTGATCAACTTCAAGAAGGTTATGTGATGCATACATGCCTCCCGAAAGTTTTTTAGACGTGAAAATAGCACAACATGACCTCACAACTGAAAATAAAAATCTTGCCGCCAGTATTTGCGCCCACAAATAATCCATTAGAAAAATCTCCCTTCATCACTTCCCTCAATATGCCGGGAGCAAATTGTTTGCTTTTTATGAGGTCATACGTAATCGGAAATCCGGTAACCATACCATCGGTAATCAGGAAAATGTGTAGCGACCCAGTCACCCACATACTTGACTGTTCAACTCACAGTCGCTCACTGGCTTGTCTTTTTTCTCATACGCACAAACACGTCGCATTAAGCTGACTCATCGGACATCGATTGTCTGCACCGCCTAGTCAGCGCAGCAACCACTCATGTGCCGACGCGCTCATATACACGCACTGGGACCTACATAAAGGCAAACCGAACCAAGTCAAGACACACAGATTCGCGCGCGCGCAGGTAGCAGGACGTCAACCTCTCCACAAGTTCACGGACAATCATGGAACACGTGTAGCAGCCAAACTGCGGAGAAAACACGGTACCGCCGTCCGGACTTTCACCAAGGAAATCTGACATACGATAACTTCCTATTTGACTAGTACCCCTTTCGCATTGTATTCATTTTTATACGTGTCGCAGCCATGTTAAAACTTCTATTAGTGCACATTCACCTTCTGATTTGTATTATGACTATCGCCACCTGTGCACTAATAAGTGTACAGCCTGTATCCACCGTTCAGTTGTCATGAGAAGTAGTAAAACGCTTCGCCGAGTGCATCTTTTTCGATATTTACTACATTTGAGAAGCGTCAAAACAACAATATCTGCTGCCATTTGGAGAATCATATGTGGCCATAATGACTTTATCATGTCTACAGCACGAGAACACGTCCGGTCTCCCGACGTTTTGTCAAGGCCGAAGGCATATCATCTGCATCAGCGGAACACAACTATGCGTCACAAACTCCAAAGATGTGGTCGACACATCCAACAGTGGTTTTAAGTTACTTGAGTGTTAAGGACCTTGCCGAATTCATCGGTCATCAACTGCAGCGCTTCACACAACGACGTTCCATACTTCAAAACGCCGTGCAGGTGCCCCCTCTTCGGCTAGCATTCCGGTTACCGGAAGTTGATCGTCCGAAAAAGTGGAAAATTTATGAGTGTGTTCAGTTAAATATGAGAAAACTTCAAGATGGTTCTTGTATCACCTTGGACAAAAAAGTGCAGGAAAAACGGTGCTTTGTGTGCTGCTTTTGCGAATAAGTACACCCGACTCGGATTCATGAAAAATTTGCTGTTCTTGCGGGCCACCTGCGGCAAATATTGCACACTCATTCACGGCTCTGATGCTTCCGTTACCCGCTGCACGAACAAGTCGTACGTAATTATTCTACGTATATTCATTTTACGCACTTAATTTACCTTGGCTATGATTTAGATCTCACACCTAGGACCGGCATCTAACTTACGTACGCTTGATTCCACTTGATGTCGTTATATTTCACTTGTTTGATTCGCTTTCTTGCCCTTGATAACGTCAGTGCATTTCTGTCTGTATCCGTTTTTCCATTTTTATATGGGAAGATTTGAACCAACCACCTCGCCATACATTCCAAAAATGTTGGGGATTTTTTGTATGTCGCTTTCAGTCCTCGTTTTTAGAATCCTTCAGTTGATTCATCTTCTTCCCCTTAAGGTTACGCATCTTGTTTGAGAAAACAACTTATCTTGCTGTGTAGTGAGATACCCCACAAATGGTCTTTTCGAACGTGTGTATATCCTCCCCTAACCGCATTCATATCTGGAGGTTCTTTTCAGCACTTCATTTGGGTGGCCTATGTTTACGCCAGTTGTCAAAGCTGAGAGCCCTTTCATTACAAGAAACTTATGCAATTTTATTTTTTGCCCAAATATGTGCATTGTGAGTTTGAAAACAATGGTGTCATTTGGGCTACGCCAGCTTGGTACTCTACGAATATATGCTGTCGTGCCGTCGTTCAGTAGCGTCATCGGAGAAGTCAATAAGCAGCGTCACTTGCGTTCACATGTTGTTCACTATAAATGTGCTTAGTTTCGTTCGAAAAGTTTAAACTCCTGGAAAACTATTTCTGTAAGCTCGCTTTGCGTTTATGAGTCTACCAAGTAGGGAAAATACCGGTTTCAAAACCAGTAAGTGCAGACCAAGCAAACGCAAGAGTCTGACTAAATCATCGGTGCATGTACTACAGCTGATGCCTTTAAAATTAAAAGAGCCCACCGTTTACGACTTCATGGAATTATATAAAAGTAAACATGGTCCGCTCACGAGAGGTCTGTAACCAAACTGAACCAGGCATGGGAATTGCAAAAACTCACCCCAGGAAGGAAAGCTAACTCAAATTCAGCCAGGAGAACTTGTCCCTTCTGGCGTATACTATCAAAATTTCATGTTTGCAAACTAAAATTTTGTTGTCTCATTTGGATGCAACACCTGCATCCAAAGGACGCACAGCATCTTTGCGTAATGATACATTCGGACATACGAACAAAATAACCCTTGATTGGTCGTGTAGCAACAAGACTGGCATATAAATTATCTAATACACTTCACACCGCGACGTAATAGACTGAAGTATATTGTGCCAAATAGGGACAGAATTTCCTGTATTTTGAGAAGGCAATATAGATAGAGAGTCAGCCGCGAAACTGATTTTCGCCAAAAGGTCAACTTTTGCGTTTTCTTTTTCTTCCAGGCCTGTGATATTTATAAATTGTGAGAAGCTTTTGATGCATCAGATCAGGAAACAACAGATATTGCGCACTTTACCGGTAACGCAGTTTGTATTCTTCTTATATGACCTTGACTGCTTGCATTCTTCTATTCATTATTCACAAACCTGCTTACCGCCAATCGACGCCACCCTGGCGTGTTCCGTAGATCTTAAGCCACCCTTGAAACTGCTTATCAGCATGTGGCATAGCAATTGATCCAGAACTGTGTTGTGAACGAAGAATATTTGCTTCATAATGTGGCGCGTCGTAAACTCATCTTCATTCGCCGGATACTTACTGTTTTTTACATGACTTGTAACATACAGGTGAAAATTCGCCAAATTAGTTAGTGGCTGTTTGATACGCCACTCAAACTCCGAATGCAAGTTGGGGCCTTTGGTTTTTACTTTTCCTTATACTGGAGTTGAAGATCGAAAATCCCTAAGTTGTTTTTTTTTCATCGGACTTTACCGAACAACCATGACTTTAGCTTTTCCCTGCAAGGCTTACTCCGGATCTGGGAGTGAAAATGATGCAGTTAGTAAACATTGTTTGGAACATAGCCAACATTCAGTATGTCACCAGCTTTCGAGAAATACACTCATTTGCAAATCAAGTTGGTTTACACGAGAGACTCAACTGAATCTCTCGCTTATGATATTCTACAACTGAATGTGTTGCACGTAAGCCGCCTCATGATTCAGTCCAGTTTGGGTTCAAGTAAAATAAGGTTGACGGAATCTCCAAGACTGCGCCTACCTGATGAGCCCCAAGAAGGATGAAACCGGTCGTGGGCTGCCGAAGAGTTTTCAGCAACCTTGTGGGCAGTTTCCTTCATGTCACCAAGTTCTTTCAATATAGGCGGAGGTTGCGAAATTCATGAACTGGACTGGAAACCTTGAGGCACGTGATTGTTACCCGACCAATCACGCTCGAAAATCCAGCTTGGTCCGCTGCAGCGTACATCTTATCGGTGGTTTCTGGATTTTTCTGGTAGCTATCCACATTGTCCATGGCTAAGTGGGGTGAAGGTGACCCGCGTTGGATAGTAGAAGAGAGGGCTGATGCTAAGAACGTCAATAACTGGCACTGGACTGAGAAAAACGCCACCCAATGGTCCATCGACACTATAAAAAAGCTTTTGGGCTCTCTTACCATTGACAGTGACGAATGTGAGTGCTACAAATCCTCTGATTTTGTTAGTTCTCTGCAATAAGCTTGAAGTCACTAAATGTGAAGGTGAAGCACACGTGAACAACCGCAAAGGGAAACTTATTTCTTTCTACGAATGGCAGATTGAAGCAGAGTGGTCAGGTGAGTCACTGATCAGTGTCTATTATTATCATCCACGTTCTTATCCACACTTTTCACTGTCATACGTGATCTTTTAATTGCGAATCCAGTACATATAATTTGAGATTTTGGTTGAAATTTAATTTCGATGGTAAAATTCTCCACAAAATGCTTCGTTTATAACTCTCGGGTATGGGCTATCCTCAACTTCATAAGAAATGTGTTTGTATGTACACTAGGCGAAGAGTTGATTGAGTCGCTCAAGGAACCGGGGTCGATAGGTCGATAGGGAGCTCCACGTGGATTCCATGGATGAAGCGGGAAGAATCCACACATGACTACGTCGGGGGTGGGTGGGACAAAGCAGGTGCAATCTAAGACTTTTTGAAATGTCAGGCCGTAGCTCGTCTTTCGTCAAAAACAGTGCACGCACCTCATCACATGGTAGGTTCCGCAATCAGTAGATGCGGATGGAAAAGCGGCGGTGACAATTTAAGCCAGTATGTGGTGGGTCGTTTCCTATTGGTGACCTCGAAGATTAGAGCACCAAAGCTAGCTTTTGTGCTTTGGGCTGAATATGGGTCACAGTGACTTGGCGTGTGGATTCCCGTGGTTTCCTATCATGATCTCATTTATTTCTTGGTCTGGTTTCAAATTCGGCTTCTGGAACCGGTTGGGACAGTAAGCACTGTGTAAAAGCTTTCCGTGTTTCATCTGGTGCTAGCATCTTCGTGTCAGCCAGCCGTACGCACTAACCCTGCGGAGTAGAATACTGGTGCCTGTCCTGGCGAGGGTATTCGGCTATCCGTTTTTGGTGTATGTGCGTAGTTAGGAGCACTGACCACGTTGTCAGTGTAGCCAGTTGCGGTGTGGTAATATAGAAACTCATCGTCTGTAATTTTAAGCACGTTGGAGCCTCGTTACCGTGCGGTGTTCTTCACGTGGTTTTTATTTATTTATTTTTTACGTGGTTAGACAAGGGCACAGAAATGGTTAGATCTAAAGGTTGTTCTTTGAACCGTATCCAGGACATTCTCAAAGGGGAAGAGTGTTGGAGTCCCTTGTTAGTAGGTACGAATGCTCACTTCTGAACACGAAACGCATGTGTTCCAACGGTTGCTAGTCGTTGGTGTGGAACGTATGACCAGTGTACGCTAGCAGATTCATTGACCATGATCAACATGTACGAGACGGCAGGACACAGGATCGCTGACATGATAGACAATCGAACAGTCCGCAGTCAATCGATAATTCTTAACCGTATTCAGCACTTACAAATTCAAAATAAAAAATCGGACTGCGAAATTCCCTACTTTCTAGTTTGGGCACGACTTGATCAGGTTATCCAGAGAAAATTGCATTTTTATGGATACAGTTAAGCTGATAATAAAAGAACTTCAGTGAGAGGTCGGAATTTTCGGTGCGCCCCCAATGCTTTCTGAGCTTTTTCGGAATCACTACATTGTGTACTGTGATGCCGATGGGGCTTACAGCTGTCATCGGGTTTCATGTAAATAAACCTCAGATGGACCTTCCGTTTATGAAAAGATACGAAATGTGTAGTGCGTTTTTGTAGGATGCCTAACGGAATGGCTAACCTGACCACAACCTCTGTTAGATTTGAGAGAGACTGTCTTCTACCGTCGACTAACTGCTTGGTTGTGTGCGCTATCCGGTTTGATGCTGATGGGGCAACATCAATTGACGCAGCGTTTACGAGCCTACAGTGGTTCTAGCTTCCGTCGTTACCTGTGTACAGGCCATAAAGGTTCGCCTGAATGAAGTCAATCTTTAGCGATGACAATTTGCAGCGTTTCGTGCGTGCTGCTGGATACAAGTAACGCATCGAGAATGCATATGTTTGATAGTTGTCTGCAGAGGTTATAGATAGCTGCAAAACGGACGCGGTAGTTCCTGCTAATGCGCCGTCCTGATCGATTATTGGAAAACAAGTTGAGTTCTCATGTGGGGTTTTTGGCGTTCCATCCTCTCGCATGCTATCCGTCGCAGTAGTAGTTGCGTTGTTGGTAGTTTGAAAACATTCACTGCAGCGTGGGTCCGTACTTGCGAGCAGAAACTGGCTAGTAGCCTTGTGCCACATTGACTTCACTTGGAAGTTTGTTCAAACCATCCACTAGACGAGATTGACCAAGTGGTAAGAGGACGAATTTACTGACCGGAAGGTCCGTGGTTCGAACTCGACCTCTGTCCCTCAACTTCCCGTGTCTAGGCTTGGACGACCTGGCAGTGTCCCAGCCCTCGTCCCTCCGTGTATTATGACAGTTAGGCACCGAAAGAGTGCTACAGCTGAACGATTATATATTACTCTATCCACTAGTGTTGCGTGTAAATAATAATAGTGGTAATGATACCCATACCAATAACCCTTCAGCTACAGTGCCACCCAAAGGAAGCACGAGGGCTGAGATAGTGATACCTCTAAGTATACCTTCACGAAGGAGAGTGCTGGAAAAGTGTGCCGTGTCCCCTGTGTGTGCTGTCCATTCATTCTACCTTAGAGTGACTGACCCTTAGAACCGCATCAGCCGTCAAGCTCACTGGAGTTTCCGTCACGTGTTTCTCGTACTATCTTCGGAATCCGAAAGAGCACAACCTCAGCCTGCTAAACCTTTTTAAGTAAATCACCCAAAACCTGTAACAAGTTTAAACCCCTTGCCGAATTTGTTGAAAACTGGAACTTTCTCCCTTGTGAATATTACTGTGGTTAATACTCTACACTTGGCTGGATTTGAAATGTACGGGATTCGACGCATGCACCTCTGTAAGCTGCCGGATCTAGAGTCGATGAGCAGTGAAAGTTAATGACAGTATGGTCCCGAGGCCTTACTCTTTTGACGTCTCACCCTTTTGCCTGAACTAAATTTTTTGAACCTATGTGGGACCAGTGATGACTGGGGCCGTCACCTCTTTTTTCGAAAAAGGAACTCGAAATGACTGTCCCTCACAATACTGCGACGCTTAACCTTATCATGTGGGACTCAGGTTTGAGAGTATCAAGCCGTAATTCGATCCAGTGGGAGGTGAATTGATCACATCGTCACATTACATTAAGTAATTTAGCAGGACTACGTGTACTATCGCCCTCCAGTCGCGATTTTCCTTCACCCTATAGGTAGGACGACACTAACTGCAGTTAAAAAAGTGACCTGATGTGTAAGTACCCTCCGCGTCTTTTATTCGATCACCTTTGGTCATATTTCAATTTGCAATCGACTCAAAAAATTACAACTTGTGGGGTTCGCTGAAGGTGCCATCATCCTTTTCGTGCAAATTTGTCAATATAATCACGAAATGCAGAGTCTCACTTCGTGTTTGTCAATCCCATTGTGGCTTGAAACTTCAAACTGAAAAGTCTGAGACTTGATCAATTTTCATTTTGGCAGCTACGTGTGCTGCAATTGTACCGCAAAAGAGTCTCGATCCCCCCAAGCAAACTCCGTTCCTTGGCCCCTGTCATGAGCCTGTTAGTTGTGGCATCGAAGGTGCTCTCTGCTCATATCCCTCGAAGGTTGACTGAACACAAGGAGATGCAGGTCCATGAAAACCAAGCTGGATTCTGTCCTTCAAGAGGACGTGTCGATCAAATCTTCACCCTCCGGCAGTTTCCGGAACAGCGACACTGCTTCCAGCAACCAGCAATGATTTTGTTTCTTGATTTGAAAGCCGCCAACTCCCGCGGCCGTGTGAAGGTCTACGGGAAGCTTTCGCCTGAGTTCACCACATTAAGTGGTGTCAGCCAGGGCTGTCCTCTTTCACCTTTTGTCTTCATTTCGTCATTGATAGGATAACGGATGACTTACAATCAGCTTCCAACGCCTGTGTAGTCGAAGTGCTCCTGGGACGTCCGTCCTAGATTTCGAGCTATCTGACAACATAGCTCTTCTCTGATCGGACGCCGTCGTAATGTAAGCAATGTTACATAATATAAATAATTCTGCCTCGCGATTCGGCATTTGCTTCACGCTTGTAAAGTGTAGAGTATTACTGTAGGACTGGGTGGGAGCGAACCCTAAGCTCATGCTTGCGGATGAGCCCATTGAGGTAGTAGACAAGTTGCTTTACCTGAACAGCTGTATCAGCCCCGATGATTCTCGCGAACGATGCTATTTCCATCCCGACTGGGAAGTCCAGAACAGCTTTTGTGAACCTGTATCACTGGTAACGTAGGCACAATATCAACTTATACTTCAAGGATCGAGTTTAAACTGCTGCGATGCGCTCCATATTACTGTACCGGTCAGAAACATGGCCGCTGCGCTCCGAGCACGTCAAAAGACCACCGATAATTTGGGAGTATTGCCCGAGTGTGGTGGGAACACCAGATCAGCAATGCTGAGGTACGTCCAGTGGTATTCGGAAGGTATAACTCACCCTCGGTAGATGAAATGATCACGCCAAAGGTCGCGCTGGCTTGAACACGTTCTGCGTATGCCAGTCGACCGACTTCCTCTAAGGGTTCTTTTTGCACAACCACGTGAAGGGTGGAAACGAGCCAGAGGCGGTCAAACGGTGGCTGAGTAGCGAATTATGGAAGCCATTACCGGCAAGCTTAGCTGCGATGGTCATTGCTGCCTTCCTGTATGGGGATCCCGAGACGGGTCACATCAGTTGTTAGAGAAATTGTCAGACATGGCCCTCGATGGCGCTCATGCATCTAAGCTATTGCCTTCAATGCGCGGCTCCCTTCACAATCTCCCCACTTGAAATTCCACCGACAACCCTGTATTGTCGCAGCAATTATTTCATCTCCCACCGCCAATACACAGCCACCTACCTCACATTTCCGAATCATCGGTGAACGAAAATGTAGCAGCTACAGCCACTATATGACAAGTATGCGGTTCTTACAACTGATAGTGATGATGATGATCTTTGGAGTAATCAACGGGAAATATCATANCGGTGAACGAAAATGTAGCAGCTACAGCCACTATATGACAAGTATGCGGTTCTTACAACTGATAGTGATGATGATGATCTTTGGAGTAATCAACGGGAAA